CTTCTATTTCGCAACACTTTCAATCGTCTGCTTGATGGATCCTATACCACAATCTTCAAATAAAATAGGACCACAATCAGCTTCAACTATTCTCTTGTCATCTGCAACCGCTTGTTCACAGATTTTTCGTATTTCGTTGTTTTCATGACAAGAAACAACCAACCTTTGAAATTTCCTAGTGATTTTTAAGATCAAATAGAAGATGCAACATTGCCACTATGAGATCTGTGCATGATATCAAAATTGTCATCTTCAAAAACTTTTTTAGTCCATCTCTTCAAAATATATTTCTCAGGAACTTTGACACACATTACACATTTAAAATGCGTAAACAATGACAACATAGAATCCACATTTCAGTGAACAACTTGCAACTACAACCAATATCTAGTTGTCTAGTGTTTAAGTTCACTTCATGCCTAATAATATCAACATCAGGCCTTCAAACATGATACTTATACACACCATCTTCCAATATCACACACTCTTGATAGCATGATGCACCTTTCATAAATTGTTCTTCAAACAAGTAATATATCTCAATTGTATAAATTTCTCTAGCATGCGAAAGAATCTTAACATTATCCATAGCCATTGTAGGTACGCCTTGCGAACATCGAATATCTTCCACATTCTCTCTACTTCTCCACTCCGATATAACACCAAAAAAAAAAAAAAACTTTGAAAATGGGTGTGCTACAAGTTGGTACCAGAGCTTAGGTTGTGAGATCTTTGTTCTAGGAAATATAATTAGTTAGGCTTTGTTACAAGTTGGTATCAGAGCTTAGGTTGAGAGATCTTTGTTTTGGGCAATAGAATTAGTTAGGCTCTGATACCATAAAAAATCTTTGAAAATGGGGGGTGTTACAAGTTCTGGGTAATAGAATTAGTTAGGCTCTGTTACAAGTTGGTATCAGAGCTTAGGTTGTGAATCTTTGTTTTGGACAATAGAATTAGTTAAGCTCTGATACCAAAAAAAAAACTTTGAAAATGGGGGTGTTACGGATTCTGTAGTTATAAAATATGATTCTGTAACCTTTGATTAGTGTGGAAAACACAAAGATTACAAAATCCCGTTTGAACATATCCCCATGATCACCCTTCTCAACAATCTCGTTCAGCATTTGGGAGGTTGATGGTGTGCATTTCTCTATCCCCATCAAGGTTTAAAAAGGCGCGTCTCGGTACGCCTCAAGGCGAGGCAAAAGGTTTGAGCATTGAGGCTTCCGCCTCTCAGGCAAATTGAGAGGCGGACGCCTCATCCCTTCGAGGCGTACGCCTCAGGCACGCCTTAGGGCGTGTCTGATGCGGTAATTGAGGCTATTTAGGCCCTTTTATATTTCAGAGTCCAAATGTTATTTTTTAAGCCCAATACAAAAAAAACCCAACCCAAATCAACCCTACTTTGACTAAAGATAGGAATTAGAAGTTTGAAATGTGTAAGAAGGAATTCAAAGAAACCAGCAACGGGAAGTGCGAACTGCGAAGTCTGGTGCGACTGTGCGAGAGTGCGAACTGTGCGATGCGATCTCCATCTCTGGCAAGATCTCCCTCCGGCGACTTCTCCTCTTCCAGCGACTCCAGCTTCTGGTGATGCGTCATGCGTCATTTTTGTTTTTCATTTTTTTTTTTGGGTTAATCTACTGAGCTGAGTAGCTGACTTTTAGAATATTATATATATGTATATAACTAATATCTTAAGAGTGACACTTGGCAGTAGTATATATATTGTGTTAGTGACTCATTCACTCATTTCACTATGGCAGTAGGCACTGCCGCAGTGGCAGTAGTGGTACTGTGGACTGTGATAGGATTAATTTACAGGATTACAGCTTACTAATATATTCTGAGGCTAAAATTTGAGGCTTGCGCCTCAATACGACTCGAGGCTTACGCCTCGCCTCAAAATACAAAACACCTCAAGGCACGCCTCTGCCTTTTAAAACCTTGATCCCCACCGCTCCCTCCAGGCAGCAACCAAGTTATTGAACTCATCCGTTTCATTGGCACACCCTCTACAACAGGAATTTGTCTTCTAGGGACACCAAGTGTTGAATGCACATCCTCATCTTCTAAGAAAATCTCATCTTCTTTTAGATGGAATGAGCATTTAGCAATATTCATCCTCTCTAGAAGGTATTTAGGAAGGGTGCCATCACAGGATGAGAGCGTTATCCCTAGAAGTGATACAAAGCCAATGTCTCTAACAGTTTGGAGCTGTTCTGGGGTTAAACTACTGACGGGAGAATAGAGCTGCTTTGGCGTCGTTCTTACAGTCAAGTACTTCTTGTGGTGGGGTTTCTTATCCTATTGTACTTGTCCTCCTTTTGGCTCTTTTGGGTTGAGCAGCGCATGGAGTGTGGCTAGTTTTTTATCTTTTGGCAGCGCGCTGCCTATCATCATTTCTATTTTTCGTTCTAACTTCAACGTTTTCATGTTCAGACTCTTCAGGCACAAGGGCTGAAGTAGATGCAGTATTTCTTGCTCTTTTAGCCATCCAGGCCATTTCTAGTATTGTAGGATCACTGGTGCTGGGGCTTGACATTGTTGCAATAACATTAGGTACAAACAATTAGACCACTAAGGTACATGATTGGAATTGATAATGTACAGAGATGTAAATGCATAATGTATAGAATTTTATAATAGAATACACATAAACTATACTCAGAATACACATAATCTTAAGTATAAGAAACATATGTTATGTCTGCTGAGGTATGAAATTTAAATTCTTAATGTATAGAATCTTATAATAGAATACACATAAACTATACTCAGAATACACATAATCACAAGTCTAAATAATATTTGGTTTGTTTTTTTTTTTTTTTAAAAAATAATATTTAGTTTGACTGATGAGGCATGTGATTGAAATTTATAATGCATAGAAATATATAACAGAATATACATAAACTCATATCATAATACACATAATCATAAGCCTAGGTAATGTTATGTAACCTAGATTAACCACTCAGACACAGAATTGGAATTGATAATGTACAGAGATTTAAAAGCATATTGTACAGAATTTTATAATAAAATACACATAATTTATACTCAGAATTCACACATAATCATGTTTGTAATGTTATGTAACCCTAGATTAACTGAAAAATGTTTATTAATGTTGATTGTTTAGGCAAATCTGGACAAATTTCATGACATATATACAGTCCATACACATAAACGCTATAGAGGAATACACATAAAGTTCTAACATTATATACATAATTTAGTAATATCATTTATGTGCAGAGTTCATGTTCGTAATGTTATGCAACCCTAGTTTAACTGAAAATGTTTATTAATGTTGAGTTTTTCATGCAAATGTGGATAGATTTCATGACATATATTGTGAAGTTATGTGTTATTTTTCAAAATTTCATAATATTTCTATCTATAAACAAAAAAATGTTTGAAGATTCACCTTTGCATGTAGGTGTATTGCTTTGAACGAGGACCTGATGAATGTTTATGCTTGTTTTCTGCTTTGCGTTCGTGCTTTTGCTCTTTTCGACGGGAGATGTTTGCTGTGTTTTTTGCTTTTTTGAATGCTTAAAATGGAGTGTGTTGAAGAAGAAGAGTTTGCTATATATTCAATTTAAAAAAAAAAAAAAAAACTGTAATAGGGATTGGACGGACGGAGCGACGTCCGTCCTGTCAACACCCATTAACAATAAGTGAAACGGCGATGTTCTATGTCAGGGCGCACATTGCTATGTGCGCCCTGGTGCACGATATAATGATTGTCTATTCTCCAATTCTTCAATTTTCTAAAATTGGAGAAAATGTCCTGTTAGTAAACGAACCCTAGGGATTTCAAAATTAGGGATTTTGTTATTTTAAGCAAAATGCTTAAATGTATCCCATGTCATATTTATAATACCTATTTTAACACTTCAATAAAAAAGCAGCTCAACACCATCATATTATTACATGTAACTTGAAGGAAACCTGTAAAAAAATTTAGCCGAAAAAAATTTATTGTTTGTGAATCGAAACATAAGTTATGAAAGGTTAGGGTGTGGCATGAACAATCCGATATAGTTCATGGTGCGAGATCACTTTAGCCAAACTTTTATAATTAACTACTTACTACATACTAGTACTTATCTTACTATAACACAGATCAAGTGAGAACTAATTGCCCATGAGAGAACTGAGAACAAATCGCAACTGTCCACGTGTCCAGATTTATCAGTTCAAAAATGTTATTTAAGAAAAATACAATGACATTTCGTAAATAATTAAACTTTGAAGTGCAAGAAAATTGTGTTAAAAGTGCAAGTAACATTTTCATATAGTGCACCTAAGTGTAAGTAAAATGTATTAAAAGTGCAACTAATAATATACACTGAGCATCAATATTAAGTGTACCAAATGTTATCATTAAGCGCACCAAGATGGAAGACGTTTATCATTAAGTGCACCAAGATGGAAGACATTTATCATTAAGTGCATTAATGTTAAAAAAAAAAAAAAAGTAAATTACTTCCACTATTAAATGAAAAATGATTGTACTTTTAAGTGATTTTAATTGCACTTTAAAGATTAAACACATGTTACTTGCATCAAAGTTTGAATTAATTACGAAAATACAACTACGTCTTAAAAAAAAATTACATCTAATAATCTATTAGACACATTGACAATTACAATTAATTTTTAGTTCTCCGAGCGAATTAAAATTGTCATCCCTACTCTTGTCCCTCCCTCGCCATCCTCCTCAAAACCAATGTACATGGTTCATAAGTACTTTTTTTTCTCTTAAAAGATTGAATCTCCAACCACAACTCAATAGCTCAATATACAAAGCCAAATTTCAATGCGCATAATCCTCACACTACTATTGTTGAGTTTCAGACCTTGATCTCTTTTCTCAAATATTGCCTACTGAACAAATGAGTTAAAAGCTCGAATGGACAATTTTATTTTATTTTTTTTGAACAGACTTGATGCAAGTGCAATAGTGCAAACACCAAAAATGGTAACACTGAGCCAAGGAAAACGCTTTTTATTAAACCAAACACAAGCAGATCTTCACATCATTCAGGGGATCCAACTTTTATTTAACTCAAGAAGGGACTTTCAGGGGAACTCAAATTCAAAGGAGCATTATGAAGATGAACAGGTTAAAAGCGCAAAAGTATAAAAACACTAGTATTTCCTATGAGCTAGCTCCCTTACTGCGTCGGCCAGGTGTTTCTCGTTCTGAATGCTCTTAACCCACTTGGCGTTTATGTCGACTCTCTCAAGGCTTTGCTTCAAACTCCTGGCAATGAAAGGCTTGGTGCGAGTTGCAAAGAACTCCTCCACCTCTTTCACCTTCTCGTATGATGAGAACTGCAGTAAGAGGATGAAAAAAGAAGTCGATTAGAAACACATAATTTCATGAATCCCCCCAGCATATGATCAAGTATATGAATTACCAATCATATCTTTCAAGTAAATATTCATTGCAGTTCACCTAGCTTCGTGACAGTGCACCAATTGGAACTAATACGTAAATACAAAGACTGAAATGAGGAAGATGTAACTAACCGGAGACACAACTGCAGTGACAAAGCGGGTTACTAGAAATCCCGGACCATAAATTTTGCATAGGTTATCCCAGTTAACCTGCATCAAAATCATTCAGTAATCCCTTTCAAAGCAATGTCGCCTATTACAGGAAGAAACTAAAATGCACTCACCTTAAACCAGTTCCAAGCAACTTCTCGTCCTTCAAAACTAACAGCAAGCCCAAAAACAGCATCTTGACTCCGGACCTAAATTTCATAAGAATGGAAAAACATGAGAAATTTTTAATGCCAAGAAACCATTCAAAAAAACATATTGAGCTTTTATATTAATAGAGTAACTTTCAAGAATTGACAAGATTACCTCCGATGACAGCATGAAGTTCAGAACTTCAAGAATGATTTCAGGGTCCCGAGAAGATGCTAATGAACCTAAAGAACAAGGACATTACTTTATCCAAGGCATTACCAAAATCTAATTAATTCCCACACTTGTTTAACGAAGTAATAATAATGTTTACCTAAGATGCGAGTCTTCTCTTGGCTAAGGTCACTTTCTTTGTAAACTCTCAAGAGTGCTTCAAACCCTGATCTATTAGATTTGTTGACATTCTGCATTACCGCCACATTTACTGCCTGCGGAATAATAAAAGGAGAGGGGGGATGCATCTGTGAGCTTTACTATCACTATATTCAGGAACGCATTTTAAGTGTAGAAATCATAACCTTTCTCAAGTCTGGAGGAAGAACAGGTGTATTTCTATCATCGAGGAATATATGGAAACGCCTGTTTGCTTCATTTATTGTTGCATCATGTCCAAATTCTGCCAATGCAGTAAGAAGTTCTCCCCTCAACATGGCATCTAAATGGCCTTCCCCTTGTTTGGGATCCCAGCCAAGCCTCCTGTTGAAGAAAATACACATGAAAACACAAAAAGGCTGACTATACATGATTAGGGATGAAGTTATATAGTTAATTTAACATATGAAGTTATCACCTCAAGTATAGTCCTAAATTTCAAATACACAATATAAGTATGGTTTCAAACATGTTAAGTTCTTTAAATCTCTGCAACCCCAATAAGCATATTTAAAGGACAATTTCATTCTCGCTAATATCTTTTCACTTTTCAGTTTTACTTTCTCCTCATGGACATCATCTAAATTTAGTGCCATTTTTCTCTGGATGAGAAAATGTACATATAAGTTGAGGAACATACTCTGCAGAATACTGGAAAAGGTTAATGAAAAACAGCTTGATGTCATTAAGTAATTCAGGAGCAGCATCGGCCACAATCCTTGCAACTTTATAACTTATCTGCATAATGAAGAGAAAAAGACTGAAATTGCAGATCGCCCTTAAATTAAGAAACACAAGCAGTCATTAGAAAGTTGAGAAATTACACTTATCAAGTTAGATAGAACAGTATAGTTAAGCTCCTCCCTATAAGCTGCCATCAATGCAAGTAAAGATGACAAAGGCAGATGGCATGCCATGGATAAGGCAAATGAATCATCCAAAATGCCTGTTCAAACAGTAAGTATACATTAAGTATTCCACAGTTATAATCATACGAAAAAAGACACAAACATTGTAGTAATTACCATATCTATCATTTGTTGACAAGAACTTGTTCTCTATTGCATGTCTAAGTCTTACTGAAAGGTTTTCATCATATTTCACCCGATAAAATCCTGTCTGCTCCACATTAACTTTTATCCAGGAATCACTTTTTGACTGTGAGCTAAATAATTCATTTATATCAACAACTTCTGACTTCGTCTGCAGCAGGAAATTCTTTTGAGCATCATATGAGCTACAGCAGAGTGTTACTGGAACTATCCACTGCCCATCTCTATGGGTACCACTCAACAGAAATTGTGACTGCCATAAAATGAAATAGATACTCCATTAAAGTTCCAAAAAATTCACACATAAAACAAGACAAGAAATAATATGTAGTATGAAGATCTCAATAAAAATTGTATATTCTAGTAAGAGAAAAACCTGCTCAAATTCCAACTTATGGTCATTTATCTTGACAGAGACTACTGGATAACCCATTTGCTTTGTCCAGGAATTCATTAGGCTGTTCACTGGTTCACCAGACACTTCCTGGAGGACAGACCATAAATCTTCTGTCTTTGCATTTGAGCAGGCATATTTTTTAATGTATGAAGCAAGTCCGCGCTAGATTTGAGAAAGAAAAAGTAAAATCCATAAGTTGTCACATGGCAATTAACAAAGGCTGCACAACTACAAGAATAGGAAGATAAAGGAAATCACATTCATATGTTACGATGTGTTGGCATTTCCATCATCAAAAGAGATGTACTGGTGGAAGGGGAAAGAGGGTGGGAAGATTTTTGAAGTTCCTATTAACTCATATCATGTAGAATTCTTCCCCAAAGAATTTAAAATTATATATTTCAACTCTTCTTCAGTAAAGAAGGTATAATATATATTTCAACCACTTAATAGTTGATTTTCTTAATTACAGGTTGAAAGTAGAGAATCCATTTATTATACCATAACAAATATAGAAAATGTGAAGTATATTTCTCAAGAAATATATTGAAGAAGCACATTGAAACAATGGCAAACCTGAAAACGTTCAGCACCAAGATAACTTTGTAACATCCGAATCAAAGATGCACCCTTTCTATAGCTGATTGCATCAAAAATTTCATCAATTTCACTAGCATGGTTGATGTCAACCTGAAAAGAAAATAATTTATGATACTTAACACATTGATATGCTCACATAAATGTAGAAATTAGGAACAAACATTAATAACCCTTTTTACCTCAATGGGGTGTGATTCTGCAAGCCCATCAAGTCGAAGCCCCACTGTGCTTTCATCGAGAAATTGAGTCCAAATAGACCATTCTGGGAACAAGCTATCAGCAGCCAAGTAGCTCACCTGATACAAACAGACAGAATAACCACCAAGGCACCAATAGTAGACAAACTACAGTCCACAAATCAAAGCATGCACATTGAATCAAACAGCATACCCATGTTGCAAACCCCTCATTCAGCCATAGATGGGTCCACCATTCCATTGTCACAAGATTGCCAAACCATTGGTGTGCAAGTTCATGAGCTACTACAGTTGCAACCTAAAGCCATAAAAACAAACATTATTATTCATCTATAATAGATGCTGCAATGATGAGATAGACTGATAATCTTCTTAGATGGGTCCACTATACTACAGCTCCCATCAACAGAATAATAGCAAGGCAAATGCCAGGAGATCAACATTACTCTTTGCTTGTTTGCGGCAGCAGAGTGCTTATCATCATAAAGCAAAGCTGTTTCTCTATACGTAACAAGACCATAATTCTCCATGGCCCCGGCAGCAAAGTCAGGAATTGCTATCATGTCTAATTTAGGTAGGGAATATGGCACTTCAAAATACCTGCAAGATTTTTAAAGGCAATTAGAAACACACTTCCAATATTCCATGCCATTTTATGTGTCCAATTCAATTAAAGAGGGTGGTCTGTTGACTCAACTTGTTTACAAATTTTTTATATTAATTAATTTAGTGTCAATGCATAAATGTTTAGAAACAACATTAAAAGTTTTATCAAACACAAAATGTTGAATTTTAAAATTGTAAGAAAGAGAAAATAAGTAAATAAAAAACAATTGATTTGACCTTCAAATAGTAAACATGACTCAAAATGAAACATAGAGAGCATTTGTTGAGAAATGCAATACTTCCAGCTAACGGAAAGTATTATTGCATGGAACGCATGCACAACCACAAATGTTCTCAATTCTTCACACCAAATATTGAAAGCTTTCCTTGGTTGAACCATCATGTTACAAATACAAAGAAGATCCCCGACTATCCATTTCAGAAATTTTGTAAGTGGGGACGTGATACATGCTGGGGCCATGATTATTTAGGAAGTCTTATTTTATTACTATTGCATTAAATTGAAGTTCAACAAAAAAATTAAACAGCCAATTGAAGTTCAACTTACTCTTTATAAATTCCCAGTGTTTTTACAGCAACATCTAAAGCAAACTTTCCTTGATTTGCTTTGCCAACTTGGCAGTATACCCTAACAGTAATCCCTGCAGAAAGTTAAAACATTTTTGTAAGGGTACTACAGATTTGTTTATGGAACAGAAAGATTAGGCAAAAGATCAGTTATGATTACAAATATACCATCAGGTGTATGATCTTCAACATAATCAAATAAGCCAACAACAATTGCCACCAAGTATGTGGACATGATTGGAGATTCTTGATAACAAACTATTTTCGTATCCCCATTCGATTTGTCTTCAATAACTGGCATGTTAGAAAGAGCTACTAGTTCAGATGGTACTTCTAATGTCATCTTGAACGTGGCCTGACAAGATATCAACACCAAAGGCAGAAAAGAGTCAAAATTCTTTCTTTGATATATTATTAAGCAACATAATACATAGGTAACTTAAAATAGTATTCAGAGCAAAAAATAGAGTACCTAGTGAAGGCAGGTGCACAAAAAGTTTTAATAAAGACAAGTAGATCATTGCTTAAAACAAATTGACCTCACACTCACTAAATAAATGAAGAAGGAAAACCTCTTGATGATGCAAATATAAAACGTAAACATATAAATAGCTAGCAAAACAGTCTACTTGTCAATAGAAGAAAGAGTTCTATTGAATGAATTAAATGCAGAATCCTGTTGCAGACTAGCAAGTTTTAGGTTTCAGTAATTTTCAAACAACTTATCCTTAAACTTACTAGATAAGTGCAAAAAGGCAAGCTCTTGATGGTGCATAGGCTGAACGTAACCTATAAAATAGCTAGAAATACCGCATACTTGCTAAAAGGAGAGTTCTATAAAATCAATCAAACACTGAACCCACTCGGCAGAATAGCAGTTTGACTGTTCAGTAATTTTCAATAGATTACATAAAATACCTTAAAAGAAGGTTCATCCCAACATGGAAAGCATCGCCTTGCATCAGCTGGCTCAAATTGTGTAACAGCCATATTCTTCTTCTCCCCATTGTGCAGATAGGTACTGCATAGACTCAACCGAAGTTATAAATAATCCATACAAACTATTATATGCTAGAGCACTCAATATCAACAAAAGCAGACTAGTCCCATATACAAAGAAAATAATGCAGAAGTTTAGCCTTAACCTTCTTCTAAGTTTAAGAGAGCACTAAGCAACAAACCACAGTATTATGGGATATTATATATTGTCATCTCATTCCTCAATTTGGAAAAAAAAAAAAAAAAAATGAATGGCTGCATAGCATAAAAAATTGTGTTCTTCTACAGTACAGAGACTGATTATTTGACAAATTACCCTAAGAGGCTAGAATAAAATATAAATAGACCCACAAATGCTATGGAAATACCAACCAAAATAAGAAGATAATAAACAAAGATAAATGACCTATCACAATGCCCAATCATGCATTAATTTATCGCATAATTACTTAAAAATTTGAAGAACTTAAGCCGGTACCTTCTGTAAAACCCTTTCATCCTGTCATTTAGGGTTCCTTCAAAGGCTGCAATACTCAAAACTCCCAAACCAGTAGGCAAAGCCTCCCCGAACTCTGCCACCATTATCTCATCCTCCGCCAGCAACTCCACCTCCACTGCCTCCAATACCTATTCACACACAGACAACAAGATCCACAAAATCAACAAATTTCAATAAGTATTCACTCAATTTTACTGGATAAAAAAAAAAAAAAAAGTAAATTAAGTAAAACCAATGATCTTTTAATTTATTCAAGATGTCAAAGCCTATATGTGGACCTTGTTGTTGGCTTTGAAGACGACGGACTTGGAATCGACAGTAAGCTCCGCGGCATTGAGTACTAGGAACTTGGTGTCGGAGACGACGTCCACGGAGATGTCAACGGAGCCGGCGAATTTGCAGGCGACTAGGTCCGGCTTCAGCCGAATGTCGTAGCGCTTTGGCACCGCGAATTGCGGGAGGCGAGGCTGGCCCTTGAATTGCTCGTACTTGGATTGCTTCTGCTCCATATTCAGATTCTCTCTCTCTCTCTCTCTCTCTCTCTCTCTCTCTCACTCTGTCTCTATCGGTATATGAACTGAAAGATTGGGTTTATCGATGAATGTGTGCGGGCATATATAGATAATCGGCGAGTAGAGATTAAAAAGGAATGTATTCAATCAAGAGTTTTATCAACTTTTTTTTTGAAGAAGGAGTTTTATCAACTTTAAAATACTTTAAACCACTTTAAAAGTTGGTAGTATTCGATATCTCAATTTTTAAAGATTTTTTAAAATTTTAGTCAGTATTCAATTCAAACTTTTAAAAAATATATTAGTATTCGATTCAAACTTTTAGAAAGTCAAAGTCTACTAATATTCAAAAAACTTATTTTTATTGTTGAAAACAGTATTCAAAAACTTATTACCGAGTAATTTTTATAGATTTATATATCATACTAGTATTTTCACCCGTGCGATGCACGGAATGAAATTGTTGTAATATATTAAGAATATTTAAATCGATAAAAAATTCATTTCACCTAAGGTCGCTTATCTTTCCTGACAATTCCAAATTTAATCTTAGACTATAGTTATTAATTATTACGATTTATTCTATGTTATAATTCTTACGTTAATATTCTTACTATTATTATTAACACTTAATTACTTTTAAATATTATTTTTACCACTTATATTATTATTATTATTATTAGTTTCATTTCAAGTTTTGTTAGTATATAATGGCCGTGAGACACACAATAATAATATAACCATAATTAAATATTCTTTTATATATATATTTATATATATATATATATATATATATATATATATATATATATATATATATATATATATATATATATATATATATATATTAGAAACTGTGAGTGAAAATTATTATCATTATTATTATTGCAATTATTATTATTATTATTGTTATTGTTATTATAATTAACAATATTATTATGGTCTTGTGAAAATTAAATGTTGATTATCACCATTTAATTTTCACAAGACCATATGACTTTATTATATATAGGATAGGATAGGATAGGATAAGATTTTTATAAGTTTTTTCTTCACAAATATAAATAGTTAAAATCCTACCTTCCAACCCCAAATTTTTCAATTCATAACTTTCGTATATATTCATATACTTTTTATTTTTCTTTTTATTTTTACACATTTATTTACAAATTTATATTTGAAACTTTTGTTGTGAATAACAAAATTTTGTTGCGGTTCGCAGCAAAATTTGCTGTTGTGAACAACAAAAAGAAAAACAAAAAAAAAATGTTACGAACAATAACATGTTGTTGCTGTTCAAAGTAATTTTTTTTGTTGCGAACAGCCGTAAGAATTTTGTTGTTGTTCCCAACAAAAAATTATGTTATTGCTAATCGCAACAAACTCTAATTATTGTTTGCAACAATAATAAAATTTTAAATATAATTAAGTATTTTATTTTATGTAATCATATATCATATATTTATTATTAATTGCTATTCGCAGCACTATTGTAATTATTTTTTATTTTATATAATCATATGTCCTTTATTAACTACTGACTCTATTACAATGTAGTATTTGTTTATAATTACTTTTTCAGCCAAAATAGTTTTAAATTTGGGTGTAAGAGTGTATTCATCAAATCCTATAGAAGTTATGTAATGTTTGGATTTATTCAATTTAAAATTTTATATATTTTCGTTGACTTTTTAATATGAAAATGTTGTTAAAAATTTATAAGTGTTTGTCATTCAGAATTTTATGGAGTCGTACAAAGTTTATGAAAGTTTAAAAGATTATGTAAATGTTTGGAAAGAGTCTACGAAAGTCATTTAAAATCCAGTACTTTAAAAGTATATAAAAATATTGATTGAATACATTCCAGGAAGCGAGCTCCTGAATGATTATATAGGGGAATTGTCTTATGAGTTAGGAGGAGTGTATTGGACTAGGAATTCCGAGGACATACAATTTAAATTTTTATAAAATCTCGTGATATTTAGGGATGGAAATAGGTCGAGTCGAGCCAAGTTTTAGAAAATTAGACATGAACCTGTTACGAAAATTTAAAGTCTGGGCTTAAGTCGGTAGATTTTTTGTTAGGCTCAAGCTTAAGTCTACAATTGGTCTGGCCTCCTTTTTAAAGGCATGTTTAGCCAATAATTTGCCCATATTTTAGTATGTAGGCCATTAAAAGGACTTCAAAGTAAATCTTGCTTTGAGCCTATTTTAAAGCATACATGTTAAGTCTTTTTAAAAACTTTAATAAGCATTTATAAATAATTTAAGAAAAAATAAGTGCAAATATCAATTTTAGTCTCATGAGTATTAGTAGAATGACGGTTTTAGTCCACATGTTTAATTCCTACCAATTTTCATCTACAACTATTGTTTTTGTACCAATTTTAATCCACGACTATTATTTTAGTACCAAAATTCATCACATCGGTCACCCATTTATTTAAAATATCCCGAAATCTAAAAATTTTAAGGGCATTTTTGTCCTTTTCAACTTAATATTCCAATTTTAGCATAAATAAATGAATTTAAGCCCAAAGATTGATCCCAATTTGCAGTTCTCCTCCTCATCCTACATTAATTTGAGGAGGAAAACTGCGAATTGGGATAGATCTTAGGGCTTAAATCCCTTTATTCATGCTCAAATATGAATCCTAATTTGAAAAGCACGAAACTACCCCTAATAATTTCATATTCCGGCATGTCTTAAACGAAGGGGTGACCGGCGTGATGAATTTTGACACTAAAATAATAGTTGTGGATGAAAATTGGTACTAAAACAATAGTCGTGGATGAAAATTGGTAGGAATTAAACATGTGGACCAAAACTGTCATTTTGCTAATACTCGTGGAACCAAAATTGGTATTTGCTCATTAAAAAATAATTTAAGAAATATACCTAATACACCAAGATTATGTGGTTCAATGGTACTCGAATTGGACTTTTATTTGGAAGGTTGTGAGTTCAAGTTTTAGTGGAGGCATTATTGGTGGTTCTTTGTGTTTCAGTAGGTTGAGAAAGTAATTCTTTTTTTTTGAGAACATCAATATTTATAGTTGAATATGATATATTTGGGTTATATTGTAAATATAAAAATATATTAGGTATAAAATAGAATATATACTAACTTAATATTAAAAATTATCTCTCTCTCTCTCTCTCTCTCTCTCTATATATATATATATATATATATATATATATATATATATATATATATATATATATATATATATATATATATATATATATATATATATATAGGGTTACATTCACATGCAAACCCTCTTAAAATACAAACCTGTGGACAAATAAGGACCATAAGATTATATTAGATTAATGGCTTGGATTAAATGAGAAAAAAATACACGGCTGGAACGTTATATATGATAATAAGGGCATTTAAGAGAATTGCAGGTTTCCTAATTATGGTATGAAGGAAATTCTAATTTTTTTATACCTAAATTAAAGGGGAGTGATTACACTAGGATTACACAAGATCAACAACACGCAAACCCTCAGACACCCACGACATTCTACCCCTACGGCAACCAGACAAGATACACAACTTTTCGGCGAAGCAACAACGCAAAAACACATTGACGCCAGCATGGAGAATTCATCGCGATTAATACCAGGTAATCATCCCATTTCATTATGATAATGTACGGACAACATGTGATGAATCATAGTAATGTATGTGCATCTGTATACATATGAGTGTGGGTTATTATTGGGTGAATTGGGGAATAATGAATTACTAGACATGTATGCGTTGAAGATCACTTGAAAACCCTAATACCCAGAAAAGGGATGAACACTGTGTTGTGAGACGGAAAACACACCAGCGCCCAGGCGCGCACACCAGTAGACACCATGACGCACACACTTCAGACCGCAATCAAACCGAAATAAACGGCCAAACAGATTACAGTACCGAAAAACCATATTAAATGGAAAACCAATGCCAGCTTTGTTTTGTTAAGCGACCATGCATCTTTGTTTTGTTAAAGAACCATGCAAACAGATTAGGGCAAACAATTTGTTGTATGAACGAAGAAATAAAGTGATGCACACACACGATGATACCCATGCACGCAGTATAACTCTAGCGTACTCACATTAGAAACACCCAATAAAAGTGATAAACAACACAGCCACGTAGGGCAGTGGATTGTCGTAGAATAATTTAATTAGCACCCCGTGCACAGAGTACCAGTCCAGCACGCACACATTTATATGTCACCATACGGGTGCAAAACAACAAACGACCACACTAAAAAAATCATGTTACTGCACAGCATTTAGGATTGGATCACACCTCTAACATGTATTCTTTATGTGTTAAATAGGTGAAGAACACTGTGACGACAATGTAACACAATGTGAAATAGAAATAGGAGACGATGGTGCGAAATCCTGGAGTCGCAAAAAATAAAGGAAGTGAGAAGAGACTCAAAAGCAATAAAGAGAAAGCCACCACAAAGAAACAACAGAAAAAAAAGGACATGCAATATATGCGACCTCCCAGGCCACAACAGTCGCACCTGTCCAGACAAACTTGCATCAAACGAAGTTTAGAATAAGTTTATTCCAAAATTAGTGAACAATGTCATTTAGATTTCAATTATGACCGTATTTGATTATTTTATATCAAGTAAACTCTTTATTAATAACACTACGTCTAATAAAAAAAATTAGACCATACCACACACACACAGTACCATATATACATGCACACAGAGTCACCTAGCAGAGCCGACACTACTGACACATGGTTTAAAAAAATAAACAGCGACTAACCCACGCACAAAGGAAAACACGTATGCGCACGCATCGTGGAGTATAAAAACCCAGTTCAACACCTGCGCACAAATAGAACACAGACGTGCACACACGCTGGACACTAACACCACAGCAATGAACGTGAACATGTGCCCCAAATTCATGAAAAAGCGTAACAACACACCGCATTAGACGAACTTCAAAGTAAGTTCATTCTCCAAACAGTGAACAATTCCATTTAGCTTAATTTTAGCCACCATTTAGGTTAATTTTAGCCACAGTAATTGATTACCAATATGAAGCAACCGTTTTTGTAATAACAATAGGTGAACCGAATATAATGAGT